GCACGAGCCAGTAATCAGACAGGGCCCGGGTGTCAGACTCCGACTCCATCAACAAGCACGTGGATATACCACCCTGTTATTCTGCCCTACGTTAGCGCGAACCAGCTCGTGTCCAGGGACGAACGCCGCCACGCCAATGACGCACGCCAAGACGACGTGGGCGTGAAGTAAGCCAATCCCCCCACCCCTATTGTCTCGTAGCTGGACAATAAAAGCATGTCAATTCTTGCTGTCCTCTCATTTTCCCTGACAATGGGCTCCTGTATGAGTCCGAAAGCTCACACAAGTGCTGTCTTCCAGTGATTGCGCAATGGTGGGGGCACGCATATTCGCTACGATTCATAGGCATCAGTGTTTTGAAATCTCTAAAATCCAGCAGGAGCCGACAAAAGGACCTACGTTTATGGAGGTGCCCATTAGGTGACGGGGTCGCATTGTGCGCTTGTCCGGGGAATAAAAACGACGACAGCTCATCCAGATAGAGCCCGCGGACGTGGTGAAAGAGGCGTCTATGGAAGAGGGGATCAAATTGGGGCCAAGGTTCCCGTGGGAGGGCCATTGTGTTAGGATATGTTTTCTCGAGAAGCCTGAAACAAAAACAATAATTTCGTCAACACTCAGTTCAGAAAAAAAAACTAGTAGACACACAAAAAATAGACCTGGGATCTCGAGGAAGTGTGAAAGGGCACTTAGGGGGAACTTGGTGAAATCACCGCCAGCTTGAGTCTCTTCCCCTTTATTTATTTTGTAACTGTCGGGGTCCAAAACATGGTTTGGCTGGGCTTTTCGAGGGGGAGACGTTGGCAAACGGCGACAGCGAAGAATAACCGCAAGCAAAGTGAGCCGCTGCACCAAGGTCCTCAAGGCTCTTGCGGGTACATCCTGGGGCTGCGCTGGCCAAGCCGTATCTCACCTATGTGGCACCAATCTGGTCTCCCACAATCAGTTCTTCCATCCTCCGCCCCCTTCAGTCAGCACAGAACGCTGTCCTCTGCAAGATCACGGATTGCTACAAGATGTCGCCTATCGATCACCGTCACACAGAGGCTTCGATCCTGCCAGTCGCCCCTCAAAACACACTTTTAGGTCAGCAGTTCCAGTGGACCTGTTCGCAAACCGGCCATCCTAATCACTATTGTTGCCACGCTCCTGAGTCCAGTCGCGAGCTCTCCACAAGGCAGTTGTATCCTCGTCTCTCTCCTATCTACCCGTTGATGGCTCTGCCGCCAAGAATGGCTTCCAGTGTCTTCACCAGAGAGCCGTTGTCGAGGAAAAACGAGGTTACCACCCCAAGCTCCTCTTGGGCGGCTATCCACCTTCGATTGCGGCCTCCGAACGACAACTTCAGGGGGTCACTCGTTGTACTCTGGCTCAACTACGCAGTGGCTACGCAGCGGTCCTTCGCCAGTACCAACACCGAGTCGACCCGTCCATACCCGACTGCCGTCCCGACTGCGGCGTTTCTCCGCATGACTGTCACAGCATCTCTTCGCCTGCAGCTCAAATCCAGGCATCCAACTCACCCCCATGGACATTTGGCTCAAGCCGGTCGAGA